GGGCAAACAAGATCATGATCTTAATCAGCAACAGTCTAATTTATAGATCTGAAAATTATAAAGTTTTTTGAAGTAAATTTAATGCTTCAAGTTGAAAAGGGAACTAAGTTCTGAATTGAGTGAATCAAGGGCAAGCCTTACAGTTACTTCATTGATAACATTCTATTTTTTTATCGTAAAATATCTGAATACATAATTTTTGTACATATTTTCCCCCTCCCTTTAAGAGTGAAACCCTTGCTTGAGATGTTGAGGAAATAAAGAGAAAACTCAATTTTTCAAAACTAATAATTACAATACTTCAACTCTAGTCAGCATGAATAACCTTCCTCAATTTTTAACAATTTCATGTCCTGATAATTCCTATTAGCCCTTTTTATCTTGTCCTCAGATTTTTAATTTCAGAATACATTTGAAAGTTATTAACCTCATAATGATGCCATCCAGGAGTCTGTAAATCACATTTAAATGCGAATAGGGAATAGGGATCCCCATCAGTTAAGGGATACCTGCAGTTTTATCTCCTTACTTTAAAGGCGATCGTAAAGATTGGAGTGAAGGGGAAAACTACTACAACCAAGAATACACTATATTCACTCCTCAAGTTAGTGTGCTTCCCGCACAAGAGGCCTTTGGTGAAAAATCTGGGCCCCCAATCAATTGCTTTTTCAATGTAATGGTCGGTTAATGAGATTTTCCTAGCGCTTTTTTCAGTTAAGGGAGCCTCTTTTGAGTAAAAATGTTGGGAGAGGGGTTATGGAAACCCAACATACCATCACTTTTATTCCTCAGACGCATTTCACATGCAGTGAGAACCATTCAGTAAAAATGAGAGCAATTTTTGAGTTGCTACTCCAAAGTTAGGGCCGATAATTGGTGTAATTTCAGTGTTTTTCAGTTTTGCTTGCCTTCTTTCGAAAAAAAACTCAAAGTTAAAGATATTGAAACCCAAAATACCATTGATTTTATTTTTCAAACATATTGTACACACAGTAAGGACCATTCAGGCAAAAATTGAGCGATTTTTGAGTTGACTATTCAGGGTAATGGACGATTATCGGAATAATTTTGGTGTTATTTTCAGTTTTTCAGGCTTTTTTTGGACAAAAGTGAAAAAAAAGATACTAAAGCCCAAAACACCATCAGAATTGTTCTTTAGGCGTCTTTCTCATACTCTTAGGAGCATTTTAAAAAAAATTGGAGCAAAAAATAACTTGCAGCTCAAAAGTTATGGGCCTTTGAAGGGGGGAGGGTTTTGCCGCTAAAATCAGACAAAATCACAACAAACAATCAACCGCAGCACATCAATGAGTAAAGTCAAACATTTTAGGCATTTTTTTTCTCAAGTCTACATACTTTTATTGACATTGTGTCAAATTTTCACTTCAATCCGACGAAAAATAGGCCCGGGGTGAATTTTTTTCGGAAAAATGACCCTCTCTTTCTCGGAAGTTTGAAACGTCTCTTTCTTGAAAATTCTTAAAACTTCAAAAATTCATATCTCAGTGAGTTTTCCGATTTGAGACCTAATATTTTGCAGAAGTTCATTATTTGGTGGTCTGATCAAGAAAAAATTTATCATCAAAATCCGAGTCGGGCGGTTGCATGGCTGGTAGGTTCTATATGGAATGACCCCGAAAACAGATCACATGCTCGATACACTAGATTTCAATTTAAATTCAATTTCTTATGAGAATGCTCCATGTTAAAAATTTATTAGAACATTTCTCGCTTTATTTGTTGGATACTGTTCATTCACACTTGTTATTTCTAAAGCAGAGGTATAAAAAATTAAAATAACAATAAAAATGGAGAGGGGATTTGTGAGCGGGAGAGGAGGTACCTCATTACTGTAGATAGCAAGCTCACCGATGTACTTGACATGTCTTTTTGAATTTGCAGCAAGTGCACCATCAAATCAGCTTGGGGACTGATCATAGTAGAGCTCGATAAAGGCCCATTTTCCAGGGTCGAAATGCTTCGAGCGCTTCATATAGTTGAATGGCGCTATTTGCACGTCACCAAAGAGAGGGAAAACCTCTAGATCCTGAAAAAGAAAAGGAGAAAGACATCAGACATAGAAAATTGATCTAGATGGTGATTTAAAAAAAATAAGATTAGAATATTAAAGATTGATACAAAATATTCACCATGAATGGAGTTCATGAAGGATAGAAAAACCAAAATTCAAGTGGGTATGGTAAAAGTTTGATTTTCCAGTTTTTGCGGTTTACCCAATTTTGTTCCTGTTCCTGTCCCTGCCAAATCCCTGTGAGGACATGGGGGACATCCTTAAATTTGATGGATTTTAATCGATCAGATTTTAGTACAATACTATGGCAGGGTGTCACCTTGAGTATTCAAATTTTTCTTTTGTTTTATTTCATTTTTACAACCATCACAGGATTCGTCCTTTTATAATTATTACAAAAAACAAAAATAGAAACTTTGGAAAAACTAGATAATAGAACCAAAGATCCAAAATTGATTAATGCCATACAGGGTTAAGCTATTATACCGAAAGAACTGGGAGTTGGAGGAAGAAATACAGAAAACGCTGGAGCAATAAACAACTTGGAATCATTGACTGCTTTGCTGAAAAGTGTACAAAGTCAGTGAAGAAAATGAGGCACTGTGATAAAATTTGACAAAATGATACCTTGAAAATTCTGTCGATTTTACTGAGATTTAGGTTTTTCTTTTGATCAAGTTTGTTGATATTGCAGAGCTCATTGTCCATCAAAAACAAACCAAAGCCCATGACCTGCAAACCAAGACAAAACGATGTTTTTACTGACAGTATTTTCAAGTAATTGTGACCGAATCTGTGGGAAGGGATCTTTTTTCCGCAGAGAAAATTTCCCATAACTTTTTGCTAATTCGAGGAGGAAGAAAATCAGGACATTTTGACGCAAGTTGGACCCTAAAATCTTAAGAATTGAAGGAGATGTTAGTCCAGAAGTTCTATAAAAAAATTCTTGGGTTGTAGAAAAGCGTGGTTAAAACGTTAGAAAAAAGTTAAGGAAAATTTCCTCCCAGAAGACAAGGCTCCTTTTGTAGATCTGATCACAAATGAAGACTTGGATAATTCGCAAACTTAATTTTTTTTTTTTTTTTTTTTTTTTTTTTTTTTATCAAAGGCGAAATATTGTGAAACCTGAGAAAAAAATACTGAGTAACTTAGAACTGTCTTGCTATGAAGTCAAGAACAGCGCCGAAGAAGGACTGACAATGAGACACATGGCCAAAATACAAAATCTTATTAAATGTTCATGAATCGCCTGAACTTCAGTTACATTTCTTGAATTTAAAAGTTTAGTTTAAAATCTAAGAGAATGAAAATTTAAAATCAAAGTGGCAGGCAGAATTTTTAAAAAACACTTTTCTGAGAATAGTGTTAAAATCTCAATTTTGAGATCTTCAGAGTCTTAACTGGCTTATGACTGGAACAACAGTTCACTTTTTTCCCAAATTTTTTCCAAAACACAGTAATTTCCCTGTGATAAGAGCTTGAGTCCGCAATTTTGGATTCTCGTTTCAGAAAGACAGCGATTTCGTTAGTGAACAAGATGTTTTCCTACAATCAACGAAACATCAAAAAATGTTTCTTTATTTCTTTAAATTAACTGCTGACTCTTATCGGTAGAGAAGAATTCAAGCACTTTCAAGGCCTAGAAAAAAATGTTAAAACCAATCACTTTCGAAGGTCGAACGAATCACGAAGATGGGATCAGGGTGTCTACAAGATTTTCAAAATGAAATTCCCTGACAATTCCAGGTTTTCCATGACAAAAAATGACAAAATTCCCTGACTTTTTGAGTTTAGCCATACGATGAACTAGTTAGAAAATTTTAAAAAAACTATCCTTAGGAATGACCCCGTAAAGTCATATTCTGAATTACCATTGCGTTGGAAGGAGTTGAGTAATACTTTTGAAAGGAACGAGATCCTAAATGCTCAAAATAAAGCTAATTCCAAAATAGTATACTTAGACTAAAATTCACCTTCAAAATTTAATTTTTAAGCTCTACTACGCTCTCTTTGTGAC